TGTTACTACTGCTTTAATCCTTCTTATATCAGAATTGCACTGTTTTACTGGCTCTTGCTGTGATCGATAGATCGATCAGTAGCGGTAGCTTCCGAGATCCAATGAGATTGGGCTTGCCTGGACTATCCAGGTCAGGGTGAAGTTTAATTCTTAACCAGTTGGTATTAACTAGGGTTTCATGTTATATATGAACACAAGAGGTTCTGGCTTGGTTCAGAGTTTCTCTCTCTCAGGGGTCCTGTCCGGAAGTCCATGGTGAGACCCCAGAGTCACTGCTGCCTCGCCCCACCAGGGCTGCTCTGGGCTTAAGCGAGGGGTGGCCCTTGTGCCATACAAAGGCGTGTACATACCGGCCCACCTAGCCAACTGCTAGGTATGGGGGTATGGGCAGGCATGCATGGCAGCTGACCAGCTGGCTGCTGCCCAAACCCTGGAAGGGGCAGACACCACCAAGCCAGCTACCTGACAGCTGAAGGGGGTGGGCACCACCAGCAGCAGGAGCCTACCTGCTTTTCCCTCTTCTTTCCCCCTCTTTGAGGGGACAGAGCCATAGGTAGTCACCCCCCCCCAAGCATGGGGCCCAGAGCAGCTTCCTTGGGTGCCCAGTAGCTAAGACCTCCCGATTACTCTCATGCACCTTGGCTAGAGACACCTGGCCAGCGTAAGGGTGATGAAAGCAGCACTGGTCAAGGAAAGCCAGGATGTGAGTGATACTCTGTATGCCAAATCCTGGTTTCACAAACTATTTAACCACAGTTAAAATAAACCAGTTTTGCATCATGTCTTAACCAAACCATAAAGTGCTTCTTGGCCAGGCTTCACTTTGGACACCTCTCATTTAAACCCTGGATTGTTTGTGAGGGCTGGGACGCGAGATCTGCATTTTCTGTGATGCATCTATTTTGCAGATGTGAGTAGTCAGAACTCCATACTGTAATATTATCTAGCTCCTCTTGCTGTTTATTACCCTTCCCCTGTGAAAAGGAGGAAGAAATAGGAAAACTGAAAGCAATCTCATTAGCTATGTAAATCCAGATATTTTGGCTTCTACATTCCAAACCTCAGCTGAGACACTCCCTGGGGCTAGTATTCAATTTGCAAGGCACAAAAGTGTTGCTAGTCTCTGCTCTCCCACTAGACAAATAACATCCAATGCAAACAGGGTGTACCACAGAACTTGACAATTACATGGCATGCTCACTTCAGAGCTGATGTTACCCGCACAGTGGAAGGTAGTGGCTCATGTTCTGTCACCACCATGCAAACTGTGTGGCAGTTTCTTAAGATATCGACTTGTACTAATGTGAAAGAAAATTGTTATAAAATGATGTACAGGTGGTAAGGTAAAGGTAAAGGTTCCCTTGCTCGAAAGCCAGTCGAGTCCAACTCTAGGGTTGCGGTGCTCATCTCCGTTTCAAAGCCGAAGAGCCAGCGCTGTCCGAAGATGTTTCCGTGGTCATGTGGCCGGCATGACTAAACACTAAGGCGCACGGAATGCTGTTACCTTCCCACCGAAGTGGTATCTATTTATCTACTTGCAATGTCTTGCTTTCGAACTGCTAGGTTGGCAGGAGCTGGAACTAGAGATGGGAGCTCACCCTGTCTTGCGGCACCCGGGTCTTGAACTGCTGAACTACTGACCTTCCACAGCCTGCAGTTCAGCGTCTTAACCACTTGAGCCACCGCAGCTCCGTACAGGTGGTATATATGACTCCAAAAAAAATCGCACTTATGAATGAAAATATGTCTAACAAATGTTGGAAGTGTAAAAAAAAAAGAAGGCTCTTTTTATCATATGTGGTAGACTTGTGACAAAGCTATGGCTTTTTGGACGGAAGTACATGATGAAATGCAGAAAATTTTGAAATGTACGTTTAAGAAAGAACCTGAAATTTTACTTCTAGGGCTTAAGATGGAAGAAGTAAATGTAACAAAAAAGACATTGTTGTGGTACTTGATTAGTACTGCTAGAATGACTTATGCACAATTTTGGAAGCAGGATAGAATACCAGAAAAATGGGAATGGATGCAGAAAGTCTTATTCATGGCTGAAATGGATAAGTTAACGAAGAAACTTAACAACAAAGAAGATCAAGAATTTTTTGAAGAATGGGAAGATTTCAAAGAATATCTAGAAAAAAACTGGGATGTAAAACATAATTTACTTTGTTTTGATAATTATTAAGGGCAGAAACATATAAAGGTTTGGAATGTTTAGATTAAGATATTGTTACCTTGAATTTAAGATGAATATGGGAAAGGAAAAACAGAAATATAAATGGGGAAGGGGGAGGAGCATTGCGGGAAGCCACAAAAGGGGGGGGGAGGGGAAAAGAGAAATGGATATGTGATTAAAAAAATGTAATGTAATGTTGAATGTGTTGTTATATCCAAAATAAAAGTTTTGAGAAAAAAACAAACAAGCTGTGTGGCGGTTTCCAGGAAACAGAAGAACTGGGTATGGCTAATGAAAGTATATGACAGTAAGACCTATGAATATTTACAACTTTTATTTAATTTCCTCAACAATGCAACTTTCAAACATCCACATATTTATACATACAGTCGCGGCATATATATATATATTTATATTTATAAAAATATATTTTAAAACTTAAGAACCAAAAGGAGTTCAGAAGACATTATTGCTACATCTCAGCATTTACATGAACCAACAGTACGAACAATAAAATAATCTGAAAATATCAAGCGGCTGCAATGCTAACTTTTCAACCAAAAATTATAAAAATATAACTTTTGAGAATAAGGAGGAAAGAAAAACACTTTCATCCAAGTGCCAATGAAGTACCGCGGTGTCTACAGTTATTGCAACAATTTAGTCTACAAAAGCCAAGAAGTGTTTCTATGATCACAGCTGGGGGAGGAGGAGATGTTAAGAGACTGACCTCAATCCAGTGGCTCTGGTGTGCGCACACCGAGTCCGATGGGCACACGGGCGCTCAGCACGTGGAGGGGCTTCCCCGTTCCCAGAGGAGGGGATGCTCTGTATTGTGCAATAAGAAAACCTGGTACATGTATAGAACATTTCCCTTCACAGAAGAGAATGGGGACCCTCCTCATACGTGGGGTTGGACTGAACTTCATACGTGGGGTCGGATCAAACCGTTTGCTTCAAACCCCACAAACTTTGGAAAGGTGCAACAGCATAAATAACTCCAGTGCAAGCGTCTTCTTTTAAAGACCGGCTAACAAAATTCTGTAACTATAAACCCAAGCAACATGGAAAGAAAGAAAAAAACAGCTCTAGATCAGATATACAGCAAATTCAGTGGGACTTGGGAAGTGCTCTGGCAATCTGTACAACTGTAACAGTACTTGCATTTGAGCAGATTATAATCACTTCTAGCAAGCAAATGTGAACTCAGTGGAGGCTGGAATGTTAAGGCTAAACAATCAGGCTCTGAAATGCTAGTGCAGTGCAACTAAAAAGAGACTTCAGTGTATCACCCCCCCCCAATGCCTCTTGTTGCTCACTGATGGAAAATGGGGCAAACAAATGTTTCTTTTAGAAAACCAAGGATCTAAAGAACTTCCTGCCATCATTTTGTATTTAGGGCCAGTGAAGATGTCTTTTAAAAGAACAACTGCTACAAAGATGCAGCGTTCCTGTCTCCACATGCTTGCCAATATTCCGCTTGGCTGCGACATTCACATTCACACATTTCAAATACTTTAGTCTTCTTAACAGTTGTTGACCTTCCTGCAGTATGCACCGTTACTTGGGAAGAAGCTCTACGCAGGTTGTGGCACGTGGGGCCCTCTCTAAAAAAACTGTGACAGTTGAGCAGGGAAATGTATGTAAGAGATGCGTTGGGGAGAACAAGGAAACTATTGGGACTGGTTTAGGAAACAAACAAAAAAAAGTGAAAAACAAACTTGTCCTTTGATAGGAATGCAAGTTATACCGTGACTTTGCCTATTTGATCAAAGTAAGGGAGCTGTATAAAGAACATATGATTGATTGTTTTTAGTACAAATATACGTTATTGTCTCTTACAGAACTAGGTGTTAGCATTCTCTTAGACACAGATCCAGATGGGAATGTATTTTGGCAGTGTGGAGATGGCAACAACAAAAGGCCCACTACATGCTTTGGGAAATGGGATTCATAGACTGGCTTCCAGTGAGGATAACAGAAAACGGGCACTAGGTCGGGTAATTGTGTATGAATTTGAACCTCTGCATAAAAGAAATGCAAGGTGAGAGTTGGCCTCGAACTTCCATTACTATCTCCCACCCTGTTCAGCCTAGCATTAAAGACACTGAAACCTGAACTGGTGTATAAGCAGAGGGAGAACTGCTATATTCTCTAATCCCCCCCTACAAGATCATCCCTGATGATCACACTGAGATACTATTCAGGATCTCTCTGTTTCTATTGGTATGTTCTGCTCTTTGAATCTGGACACTGTCTTACACTCGCATTTCAAAGTTGGCAAGTAATTGTAATCTGTAGGAAATTGGTTAGTTGCATTTATTTATTTCCATACACAAATGGTAGCTTCCAAGAGTTCGAGAACACAACTAGACTAGCCATGAGAGATCTGTGATCAGGTCTGGAGTTGTATTTAAAAGCAACCATGGGAAGAGTGGAGGCTACAATACCGGCAAGGTGAACCCTTTGGACCCTGGGCCCTCTTCCCAGTCTAACACACACAAGCAAGGCAATGGGGGAGGGTTCAATTAGAAAATGGTGCCAGTGTCAGAATCAAGTCCCACCTCTCCTAGCACCTTGGCTCCAATCTACAGGATCCCCCAATGACTGCCTCTAGATTACATTAAAGATTCTGGGAAAATTTAGTCCAGTCATGGCTCTCACAGGTCTTGCCCAGTTGCTTCCAGAACTCTCAAAATCCATTCAAAATCCCATAAATACAACACTCAAGTTTTATTATGGTTATTCCCCCCTCCCAGATCTGGTTCCGTACTACAAATGCATATAAACAGCAACTATACACTGATTCTAGCAAACAGGGCAACAACGACACTATAACTATGGTGGGCAGATCTGCTTTTGTTTCTAAGCAGGCTGTGATTTAAAATTAAAACACAGAGAGAAAGAAAAGTACTACGGTATTCCTTCTATCCTTGGTTGAGTAGTATATAAAATGAGAACAACAAGTAGTCATTCTGTCGAAATACGTAAAAGTTAACAGTAGATTCTCCATTCAGGCTAGCAGAGTTGGTCTTCAGGCTTCCTCATGCATGAGTAGGGACTGATTCGATGAAGCGTTGCTGCCCACCGAGTTAATTCGCACTGAGTGATCGGTGCCATTAGCCTGACTGCAAATGTTACTTGTAACATTTGAATAAGTCTGGGAAAGAAATAAGCAAAGAGTTAATACTGAATGACAGCACACGGCACCAAAATCAGCTATCAGTGCTTTTGCATTTATTCAAGCAGAGTTATGTGCTAAGGAAGATCCTGCTTGCTGTGTAAGACCTGGCTGACTTTGTTTCTCCTCTGCTACAGGCAGTTAAGCCATGGGCATGCCCAGAGATGGGAGCCAAAGGACTGTACAGGAGCTGGAAGGAAGATTCACTAGCAGAGGGGGGGAGACCTGCTCTGCATTCAGAAGCCTCCCCCTGCTCCTGTTTCTACTGCATTTTAACTGGGTTCCCACTAGGGAGAAAAGCAAGACAAATGCCCAGCCATGAGGATTTGATGATTCATCTACACAGCAGAGATCTATTCAAAATTTGAATCTTCCCCCCCAAAATATACCCATTTACACGGAAAACAACATTGCACTTACCTGTAACTACTGTTCATTGAGTATCTTCTGTGCAGTCCCACATGGGGACTGCGCATGAGCAGGCCTGCCATCAGAGACGTTTTTACAGTTAAAAGCCTCCAGGGGGTGCTGCACACCGGAGCCAGAAACTTGTTCCTGCTCAGGGACTACGTGTTCCCATGCAGCAGCGCCCCCACCCTCAGTACCTCTAGCGCCACCAGAGCACGCAGCAGGGCAGGAGGGGAGGGGGTATGTGTGCCTGCACAGAAGATACTTAACGTAACAGATGCTTCAGAAGAGCATCGCTAGAAAAATCAAACAAGGTGGGCTGCTTCCCAGTTTTCACATGGTAAATTCACCTTGCGAAAATCCCCTTGGTTGGGAAGAGTAATGTACACCATGTCCTGGAGAACGCATAACCGCTTAGCGCCCAACGAACGATCTCCACATAGAAAAAAAAGTTTCTGTACTTTGTTGAATCCAAAAAGGTACTGCAAAGAGTAAGATCCACCATTCACGGCTCCCTGCTCCAAGACCTTTGCTGGACCTGTCAGAACTCTGACAGAAATCATATGGAAGACAGAGGATTGAAACCTCTACTTCCTCTGCTCCTAAGAGGTTATTGGAATAATCAAATTGTTATCATCATCCCTTTTTTTGGGGGGGGGGAGTGCAGCATTGGGCATTTTGTACGCAAAGTTCAGATATTTTGCATGGTAAATGACATAATGTGAAAATACTTTCACAGAACTATTTAAAAACACAAAAAATCAAAGGCACGTGCCACCTTGCTTAATGCCGATTGCTCACTCAACTCACAAATCAGTAAGGATGAGAGAGTGCATGCAGAAAAGTTTCTTACGTTGGGACACAATCCACCTCCACAGCAAGAAGTGGGGCAGAAATGTACCCAAACTGCATTTAAAGATCGCTTCGTTTCATTTAAATGTTTCGTGCAACCAGGAAAGATGTGCAATACAGACGGGATTGGAGAGGAACATTTACAGTGCATAACTGCATTACGCAGGACATTCAACACTCCCGTTCTTCAGGAGGCCAGCCTGAGAGCTCGATGCTTACATGGTTTGTGGTATCTGAAATCTGCTGTTCAATCAGCTGTACAATTTGCTTAAAGGTGGGCCTCTTTACAGGATCCACATCCCAGCAACTCTTCATTATCTCATACCTGCAGATAGGGTTATTGAGAAGTCAGCAGGAGATAAAACTTAACGCTTGTACCAAAACACAGATATTATGACATTCGGATGCACGCTATTTTACTTTTTTCAAACAAACCACCAATTGGCTCTTATGAATTGCAAACACAAGGCTTTTATGCAGGTGGGTCTTCCCCGGCCAAAAAAAAATGCTGATGCCATGGGTCACAGGATCCCCATAAGGGGCTGTGCTGCTAAACTGGGTAAAGTTGTCTCCACTTCTAGTGGCTCAAGCTCGCCTCTCCCTCGGGTCAACTTTTCAGGCATCATGGAGAGATGCTGAAGGGAACTGGAGATCTGCCTCAACCCCGTGAGTCAGAATGACTAGCAAATACTGGCTAGAGTTTTAGAACAGAAGGTGATGTAATGCAGTGACGCACACACACATACACCCCGGGCACTTCAAATCTGCACTTTCCCAAGAATACTTATGCTACATATACAAAGTTTTGTACAACTACAAGCAGTTATACCGGTAAGCATGCAAGGGACATGTGGGCCTCTCACTTTTTCCACTAGTGGAAATTCATCCATAGAATGCTTTATCTTCTTCTTCTTTTTTTTAAATCCCACTTTAAAAGCCATCTCTGGCAGACTACCATTGCCTCACCTTTTTGGACTTTAGTCCGCTTGTGATCACTTGGTCCTCGGCTTACTCCTACCCTCAGGGTTTTATCAAGTGCATCCTGTCCTTTCTCATCTGTCCCTGGCTGGTCAGGGACGGTGCCATGACTATGTGTATGTGTACACAGTGCCTACTGCGCTGTTGGCAGTAAATAAAAAATGACAAGCTAGGAGAACATCCGGTTCAAAGACCCAATTATCAAGATCAGGCGATTGTTTATTATACAGAGCTATTGGGTTTATGGCCATCAAAGATCAGATTCATTCTAGGAAACATCAGACTGGAAGACGCTAGATCTGGAACATCAAAACTGCATCGAGCTATTCTCTCTTTGTTCTGCATGAGATCACTATTTCCTCCACATGGGACAGAAAGAACCATGTGTGAGTTCCGCAGTCATTTGCGGCAGCTCAAAAGCTGGCAACAGATGTAAGTTTCCAGTCCATATGGGGCTGCAAAGGTAGGGTAGCAAGTGTATGTGTGTGTGATGTCTGGTGAAGTTTCAAGGAATGGTACTCGCTGTTCAAGGAGGGCTTCCAATAGTTGGGACAACGTGCAGAGGCAGAAGCTTTCCATCCCTGCACTTGCACTCTAAAGTATTTTCAACTCTCTGGAATCAGCCAAAGTCAACAAACCAATATATGCAAGTATTGGGGGGGGGGGGGTCATAGTTCAACTGGAACTTCGGATCATTTCCAGTTAAAACTATGACAGGTGAGCAGAGCGGCCCTTGACCTGAGACTGTAGAAAGGTTCTGCCAGCCAGAGAAAAACACTCTCAGCTAGAGGGACCAAACCTCTGTTGCTGTAAAAGGCAACTTTCTGCGTTCCCCTGCGAAGAGGCTCAAGAGACACATTTCCTACAGATCACTGGATACATCTTTTCTTGGTGCAGGATCCAGGTCCCCCTGCTGCCAAATTCTGGGTTTTTTTTTAATTGTTTTGTTCATGGGGAATAGATGTGACCCTGACAGACAGAACAAAGTTTGAGTCCAGTGGCACCTTTAAGACCAACAAAGTTTAATTCTGGGTATGAGCTTTCGTGTGCAGGCGCACTTCTTTGGGTATCTGAAGAAATGTGCTCAGACATGAAAGCTTATACCCAGAATTAAACTTTGTTTAAATAATTGTTTAACTCACAAATCATATAAATCAGTTAAACTTTGTTGAATTCTCATACCCTGCCAGATCACAGTTTGTTAGCCTCCAGCTGACACATTTTTGTCTTCGCTCAGGAAGGAGGGCTCCAGACCAAACTAACTGATGCAGCACCCAAATCACTCGCTCACAACTTTAATGCCAGGAGCTCACAAAGTAGAATGTTTGTTCACAGGACTCCACAGCTTAGAGGGAGCCTTGCTTCCCAGCAGTGTTCCCTCTAAGCTGACTTAGTGTGAGCTAGCTCACTGGTTTTTAGCCTCCGGCTCACACATTTTTGTCTCCGTTCAGGGAGGGATGGCTCCAGAGCAAACTGATTGATGCAGCAGCCAGATCACCTGCTCACAACTTTTAATGCCAGGAGCTCACAGAGTGGGATTTCTGCTCACAGGGCTCCACAGCTCAGAGGGAGCAAAGGCTGGTGGCAGCAGGAGAGAGAGAGAGAGAGAGATTAAACCCTCGACAGGAGCTCACAAAGTAGATTTTTTGTTCACAGGACTCCACAGCTTAGAGGGAGCCTTGCTTCCCAGCAGTGTTCCCTCTAAGCTGACTTAGTGTGAGCTAGCTCACAGGTTTTTGACTTAAGACACTGGCTGTTCTGAATACCTGTCAACATAGGGGCCACTGCATTTTCCGCTAGCTGAAATTCTCAAAGGCAGCCCCACATAAAGCAGTAATCAGACCTGAATGTTACCAAGACATGTGAGACTGTGGTCAGGTCTGTCTTCTCTGGGAATGGCCACACTTGGACGATCAATCAATCACATTAATCAATTACATTTTACCAAAAGTAGGTGCCTTTTCCAGACAGTATCAGATCATTTACAATTTAAATAGTAAAGCCCTACTTAGTATTTTCTTTTTTCTTCTCAATTGCAGTGACGGTGTTTAGTTTGCCGCTCTGCCCATGAAAAGTGGTCTTCTCTGATTAACTGAATACCTATCAAGTCAGTTCAATTAGTGCACAGCCCACTAGGGTTGCCAAGTCCGAAGCAGCGCTGGAGCAGGGGACTCCAGCGCTACTCCAGGAGTTCTCACGCGCACGGCACACACACGTCACCCGGAAGTGGCCCCGCCCCCAACGCGCCCGACGCGATCGTGTCACCTCTGGGCGACGTGCACGTCGTGTGCTTTGGGGGTGGGGTTTCCCTGCCCCCCGGGGGGACTTGGCAAGCCTACAGCCCACTGAAAAAGTATACCTATTTGGAACCATTGTGATTATGAACTTTACAGAAACCTTTAGGCTGTTTAACTTCTAAATAAACTCTGTGTTTAAGTGGAAACAACTGTTTTATTTAGAGCAAAGGATCCCCTTTTACCTCAGAGCCAGCCCCATGCGCTGTCTGCTCTGCCACTCTACCAGATATAACTAAGCCATCCTATTCTTTGGGCCCAACTAAGAATTCTAAGGAAAGAGTCTTTATTGGCAGCGAAAATAAGACAGAAATGCTAAGGAAGGCAAGGAGGCAGCATAACAGCCCTCAACTCAAAACACTATTACAGATGTTACAAATAAGCCTTTACAGAGGTTACAAATAAGGAGTCTTGGAAAAGAGCAAAACTTTACACGAATGCTTTCCTCCCTATATATATATTATAGTGCCCAGAAATTGGTTGCCCACGAACTTGCACAAATAGAAACACAAGTGAGGATAAAATAAGCATGACTTAATGCAAGTGGATACCGCCATCTATTTCTTGCATTCCAAAAAACCTGCTTGTGCAAGAGCTCTAGCACAGGCAGAATTTCTGTGTTGGATCTAATTCATCGCGTGGATAGTCATATCAATGCACGTTGGACATCCTTTGTGTCCGAATGTATTTAAAATATTTCATTCGTTTTTGACGACCGGAGAGGACTGCTTAAAAATATAATTCCACGCCTACTAAAATAAAAAAGAATTAGGCAAGTATCTACAGAACCACACAACTATTGTGCTTTTTGAGAACAGCACTGGTTAGTTCTGAAACACAGGAGACTTTCAAAAATGGCTTGTGATATAATATGGAGGTTTCCTTTTCATAGGGAAAAAAGGTCATCACCTTCTTTGGGCTCACCCAAATGCAGTTCCTACAATATTTTCTATGCTTTTAATGTTGTGTAGATAGTTACTAAATGACCGCCTTAGTTTTCAGATCAGTATACAATTCATGTTCTGCAGCTATTTGGTGAATACTCGTTGCTAGTTTTGACAGCCAGACTACTGTGCTACATTATGTTCACTCCACAGCACGTGATTACATCATAAATTTGATCCCACTGTAA